TTAACTACCTTAATCAGATATTACGTTAATTAATGGCAAGTATACTAGTAAGTTTTTTTTTAAATCTACAACTAAATATTCCTAACAGCACCATTGATGGTAATAGTTAGCGGGGGCTGGAGACTAATCGATAGCTCTGTTAAGATTTCAAAACATTTTACTAGCATCTCGCAATCGATTTTTCCTGCGGTTCTCATTAATTTGAGAGAATAGCATGCAGAAAGCTTTTACCTCTTAGAATAAATTTTCGAATTTTACACACATGCTAAAGTGAATTGAATTAATCAAATGGAATTTATTTCGAATAAACATTTGACTAACAAATATAGTTAAAGATTGTTTACCTTTTCAAACATTATTGTCGATAATATTATTCCGCAAAAGATATTCGATTTCATATTTAATACCTTTTCAGTAAAGTATAGAAATGATTTCTGAATAATTAAAATGCTATTTAATTTTTGAGGAGTTGTTACTTTTTAAATTAAGAAATAGTTTTGCGAAATATTTTAGGAGTACATTAAATTTATGAGTTAAGTTTATAAATAAAAACTATAATACAAAACAAGAAGTAACAAAGTACTGTATAAAAAATGGAATGTGGAATGTAACTAAATCAACTTCATATTAGTATGACAGTAATTCACGGAGAAAAAATAAATTCTGGTAAAATTACCGTAATATATGGTTATAATGACATTTCTGGTTCAAAAAAACAACAACATATTTTTAGTAATAAAACCAAAATATACGATATTTAAACCATTTATTTGGTAATTTTCCCGTCCATATATGGTGACGGTTTACCAGAAATTCTGGTTTTCAAAATTGTACTTCCTATTAACACGCCTTTAGTGAAAAATACAAAACTGATAAGCGAAGTTAACTGAATAAATAGTTTTCATACCATGCTCCAAGGCAGTGTTTCTCAAACTTACGATTTTTGTGTACCCTTTCTAAATTTTTCGTAACGCTGTGTACCACTAATAAAAAAATTTATGTATTTTTCGCTATAAAAAAATTGCACTTAAAAATCACAACCGGCTGTTAACACCACTAATTGTTAACTCTGCAAAAAATACCCAATAGAAAAATACGTAATCGTAAATTTTCATGGCTAGCTTTGTTTTTAAATAAAATTTTTTGAAGTTTTCCTTTGTTGCAAGATATTTCGCATAAGAACGCGGATCCCCGCTAAACTTTTACCGTACCCTTTGGGGTAAGCGTACCACACTTTGGGAAACGCTGCTCCAAGGTATCATGATAAAATGACCCAATTTTATCATTTATACCAAATTTTATCACATATTATAAAATCATAATTTATGATTAATATTACTAAAATCATTACGAAATCGCTTCGGTAATAATTAATAAGCTTTTTGGTGTTGCCATAGAGCCCGCAACATGGTAAACTTTTCCGTATTCTGGTAGTTTTGATCATACTTGTTTTCTCAGTACATGATCTAAATAATATAAAATATGATAGCAATGTAAGTACTTCATGTAAATTTCGTATCAAGGCATATGCATCAATAATGTAATTTTTTAGTTTACTAAGTCAGCATATATTTTTTTCCACTTTTGAAGTTTCTTGCACCAGCTAGGTTAAATCCCTGACATTACCGATAATATACAGGCAAAATATAAAACAATTAAATTAATTACCAATACTACCAATGTTACAACTACCAATGTTCAACTCCGTAGCTTTTAAATTTTGAACCGAATTCAGAAAACAAAGGAAATACTGAATCAAGAATTAGGAGAAATTAGCCGTTGTGAAAATTTTTTGATGAAACACCCCGCATTACATGGTGAGGAAGACCACGAGAACCTCCCATGGTTAGACTGACTGCAAAGGGAATCTAACCCATGATCCGTCTACCACTGAGGATATTTCACGTCAGCACTGTGGTCGGTACAAGCTGGATGCGGATTCGTATCGACCAGCCATCGCTGGGATACGAGCCTAATTGGAAGGCGAACGCTCCATCCCCTGAGGCATCGTTTTAATATTTAAGGCTCTAGTTATTTTGCTTCAAACATTCATAAAGCTAAAAGAAATATTAAAATAGTTCTTTGTCTTTTTATATTCAACTATAAAGCCTTAAAACTAGAAATAAGGAAACAATGTCAAAAAATGGTTATTTTTTAAATTTTTTTTTTTACGGGATATTTGCGCTATGTCAGGAAATATTTTACTGACACATTAAATTAGTTAACGGGAAAAAATCCGAATAAGATAACTGAGTATTTATCGAAAGGAGTTTCAATCTAGATATTAAACGAAAAAACTGAAAGTTATGAATATCTAAATGAAAATATACATCTTATATATTTTATAAGCTATCGAACAAAATATATTTAATGGATTTGAATATCAAAAGGAAATAAATACAAATAATGAAATACGGCATGGGAACTCTAACTCATGATCCGTCTACCACTGAGGATATTTTACGTCAGCGCTGTGGACGGTGTGAGAAATATATAATAAAAAATCTGTGAAAAATTATGGGCTAAATTTAAATAAATTTATTCGTGAAATAAATTTCTCAGAATTATAAGTGCTGAGATAATATTTGGAGGTTTAAGTTTAAAATTTTTCATGCATTCCTCGAAAAATAACAAATCATCAAAGTTAAAACAGTAACAAGTACTAAATCAACTTGAAATGAAAAATAAAATTAAAATAACGAAAATAACGGATTTACTAAAACGAACTTTTCTGTTAACAAACAAAACTACTTTTCTTTACCACAAAGTTAAAACAAAAATTATTTTATTAATATAAATTGCACATCGTAATTATTTTAATTCATTTAAGAAAATTTCATTAATTCTGAAAAAAAAAAGAAAAAGGATTTGTGAATATGAATGTCAAAAATTCATCACGAAGTAAAAGAATATTGAAGCACCAAAGTCAAGTTCAACACCGAAATGTCAAAGAAATTTTCCCCATGAATTGAAAAGCTTTTCTTTTACAATCCATCTTCATCGCCAAACTTAAGATCAAAAGCGCAAGGAAGCAACTGACTACAGATACTAGCATTAAATTTGATTGAAAAAATTCATGAAAAGGGTTTCTCTTTTAATTAAATACGAGAGAAGAAGAAAAAAGTTTTAATTTAACTTTCGTTTTAATAATATTTCTTTCAGCTATAGAAGCAGCTACTTCTTTGAGGAAAAAGGTGGCGAGATTTTTAATTATAAATTTTTAGGGAAAGCGCGATCTTGTATCGGAAAATTACGGGAAAAGTTGTTTAATTATACGTATAGAGCGATCTTATCTACAAATGGCGTGTTTTAAAAGGGATTGAGTTCAGTGTCTAATCCTTAATGCAAAAAAGAAGTATTAATTCTGATATATTATTGATACAGAAGACAATATACATTTTTTATAATATTGAGAAAAAATTATGGTTAAACTACCAAAAAATGTTAAAATTTACCATGCTTTTCTGAACATCAAAAAGCTCGGTAACTTTTATCGAAGTGATTTGGACATGATTTTGGTAAAATTAACAATAAAATATGGTTTTCTAATATGTGATGAAATTAGGTCAATATGATGAAATTTAACGATTTTACCTTAGAGAATATATAGAATCGAGATACCTTAAAAAAAAAAAAGGCATAAAAACTATTTATTGGGTTAAATTTCCTTTCCAATTTTGTATTTTTTTTTTTTTTTTTTTTTTTTTTTTTTTTTTTTTTTACTAAATATGCGTAATAAGAACTATAGTTTTAAAAACCAGAAGTTCCGTTCAACCGTTAACATATGAACGGAAAATTTACCAAATCAAAGGTTTAAATACCGTATATTTCGGTTTTATTAACCAGATTTATGGAGCTGTAATGTCATTAATTTAAAATTAAAAAAAAATTAGTTTTCGATATAAAAATTAAAACTTTGCTTTCATTTAATTTTGTTAATGAAGACAAAAGACATAGCGTGCAGAATTTCATACATATTTTTAAATAAAAATATTTTTTAAATAGCTTGGCTTTTTAATTTTCAAGATTAATTAGTATTGCACTTATTATTCCGAGGTAAATTAAGTTATCCCTATTTATAGAAAATCGAAATTCTTTGCGGAATTAAAAGCAATTTTTTTTCTTTAGCTTTTTTACCGAAAAATGGCAAAGACCTCTACTTTATAGCATAAGAATAAAAGTGATTAAGTACTGCTATTATTTAATAGATAATAAATTAATAATTATCGTATTCTTAATTTTGAATTAAAAAAAAGATTTATAATGTTATTTGCAATTTCAGTACTCAGTTTTTAACAATCTATGACGGCAAAAGCTCTTAATTTGTTTTACATTCTTAACATAAAACATTGAATTTCATTTTATTTATTCTAAAATAATAAAATCACAAGGGAAATGTTTACAGAAATTAAGCTTTAGTAATTTGATATTGTTTTAAAAAATAAATGAAAAATTAAACTCTAGTAATTCGACATTGTTTTAAAAATTAAATGAAAAATTAAACTTTAGTAATTCGATATTGTTGTAAAAAATAAATGAAAAATTAAACTTTAGTAATTCGATATTGTTTTAAAAAATAAATAAAAAATTAAACTTTAGTAATTTGATGTGGTTTTAAAAAATAAATGAAGTCCATAAAGTGCAAATCGATTACCTTATTTACAACTCATGGTAATTATCGGTTAGCTGGATGCAAAAAAATTCAATTATTTTTTAAAAAATTTTTAATTTAATTTAATTTATTTATTTTATTTAATTTGTACGTTTTTTGAAAATAAATAAAACAAAACATTTACCAAAAAATAGTTAGAGGAGGTCAACATTTTTTTGGCGACTTATCAAAAAATACCCAATTAATATATCCCATGTTTTTTGTTGTTGTTTTTTTTGTCAACAAATTTTTTTTTAAAGAAATACTGTTTCAAGTTAGCATTGCTGCAAAAAAATTAACAATTCATTGCAAAGAAAAAGTAGTTTTAAATAAATATAATCCAACTTACCTTTTTACCATCTAGTTCATGAGTACCGCTAGCTAAGACTTTATCTACACTACTTGGGTCAGCAAAGGTCACGAAGCCAAAGCCTCTGAAAAGAGAAATAAAAAAATATAATTTAAACAACCATTCATTGAATATTAGTTTACTTTTTGTATAAATATGTACAGTATTAAAACCAAATTATAAAGTGCTGATTGCGCACAGATGAAACTACGTGAGGTCGTAACAACTAAGCACAAAATTACGCAACGCAATTAAGACGATTTCTTTAGAACTATTGTACGATACCCAAAACAAAGTAAAATCCTACACAAAATTTGGTCCAAGGAAAGGATTTTCGTGCACTAGGAATCAATTTTAATACTTCGAGACCTAAACCAAAAATAATAATTGCAAACGATATGAAATGGTAAACGATTTCGAATGGATTGCAGACGATATTATAACAAACGATTATTTAATTTACGCAATCAAACTCAAAAACAAGAAATAACTATTTTCTTCGAAATAACGTGACTTTTTTTCCGACTAAATGTGATTTTTCTCACTCTATCATGAAACAAAGAGATTTGGCGAGAAAAAATAAAATAGATGACAAAAAGGAATCAGCAGTCCTAAAAGTTAGCTTACGTTTGCAAATGGGATTTATTTCTTCCGTCCTCATTAATATACTTGCACGCCTAAATGTTGAAAATATAATTTTAATAGTTGGGGTAAGAGATCGGTCGAAAATTTGGGAACCTTAATGTTCATTTTCTACTTTTATGCGAATTTCTTTGGAACTAATGAAGCAAATTAAAAGGTTTTTGGCGAACAATTGTAAAATTTATTTATCAAAACCTAATTCTATGTGAAAAGTAATATTTTTTATTATTTAATTATTAATGGTATACATGATCATAATTTTAAAAAAAAATATTCTACGTAGTTTTAAAGGACAAAATTCCAAAAATTGAAAAGTATCAGTCTCTTGAGCAATAAAAATTTAAAAATAAGATTTCTCGAGATTGGGGAAAGCAAAAAGTAAAATAATCTTTATAAGTCTCAAACTCTCGACTGCTCTAGTGTCTCAAACTATTGGGGGCAAAAAGCAAATAGTAAAATAACCATTTTAAGTCTCAAACTTTCGACTGCTCTAGTGTCTCAAACTATTGGGGGCAAAAAGTAAAATAACCATTTTAGGTCTCAAACTTTCGACTGCTCTAGTGTCTCAAACTATTGGGGCAAAAAGTAAAATAACCTTTTTAGGTCTCAAACTTTCGACTGCTCTAGTGTCTCAAACTATTGGGGGCAAAAAGCAAAAAGTAAAACAACCAATTTAAGTCTCAAACTTTCGACTGCTCTAGTGTCTCAAACTATTGGGGGCAAAAAGTAAAATAACCATTTTAGGTCTCAAACTTTCGACTGCTCTAGTGTCTCAAACTATTGGAGGCAAAAAGTAAAATAACCATTTTAGGTCTCAAACTTTCGACTGCTCTAGTGTCTCAAACTATTAGGAGCAAAATTACCAAAAGGTTACGATTCCAAATCCACGGGAAAAAAATTTATGTTGGGTCTGGTTTCGTAACTTAAGCTTCCATTTACAATAATTAATTTACAGTAATAGTGGCCTATTTAAAGTTAGGCCTTCGAACTATTAAAATTGTGTCCTAGCCCATTGTCCTGGCCACCATAGATTTTAATCATTAGATCAAAAGTTCACTTTATTATGCACTGTATAGAATAAAAAGAATAAATAAATTGTTATAAAATTTTCGTTTTTTTTCTCGGAAGAATTTCATATAAATTTGAAAAAAAAATGACAACAAATTTACAAGAATTCATTGAGAAAATAGTTTGACAAATGAAAAAGAACTTAAAAGTGATAAGATTATAAAAAACTAAATTTTAATTCATCATTACAAGTATACAATTACAACTTAAATTCTCCGAAATATTATTAGTTTAATGCACAATGTATTTGCGAATGCTTATCCAAATAACTTTTCAAAAACTATTAACGGAATAAACTGAGGGAAAAAAATCAAAATATTTAAAAAAAACCTATACATGTAAAAATAGAAAAAGAAAAAAAGGCAAGTAAATTTCCAAGTACTCATTTTGCTCACAACAAATAAGCAAAAAGTAGAAAATGCATAATATTTGAACTCAAAAAGAAAAGCTAGTCTAATAAGAAATCAATACAAACAATTAAAGTTTTATTTATATTTTTTTTAGTTTATTCAAAAGCAAATTATGGAATGAATTATTTATAAACACTTTTTTTTAACATTTAAAACATTTTGCTTTTATTCATCCATTGAACAGACAATTTGACATTAAATTAATGAACTTGAAAGATTAACATTATTTAAAAGTAAATTGCAAATGAACATTATAAGTTTATAGAAATAAATAATTCTATTTTTAATGAGTGAATGTGCATTCTCAGAAATGTCATTAGTTTAATCTATTTCAGAGTTTGAATAAATCCCCCTTCCTCGCTTGGTAATTACTTTCCTTAAATTTTAATTAATTGAAGATTTAAACGGAAGAATCAGTTAATGTTTTCAGTTCTAATAAAGAACTATATCAACGGAACTATGTTTTTTTTTCTTTTATATTCTAATTTTTATGCATTTAACTAAAAGCAACATTCTTAATATCATTTGCGGGTATTAATTAGTGACGTTGCGTTAATTACGGTTTCATAAGAAACCATTATTTAAATAGTTAATTATCATCAGAATTAACCTTTATAAAAGAAAAGTTTGATTTTTAAAAAAAATAAGTGCGACACTATCTTTCGTCACTAATGATTCATTAACACCCATTTAGATGAGAAAAGCTAGACGCGAGTAAGGGAGGATAAAAAAAACAATTTTTTCTTCAAAAAAAAAAAAAAATATTTATAAAGTGAGTAATCTCTTTTTCCTCTTCATGTAAATTTCAACAAAATAATAAAACTTGAGTTTTTTTTTAAACAAAGAAATAAAAAAAATACTATTTTCTTTTGCTTAGTTTCACACAGGAATTCTCTCATCTTAGTCTTCGGTTTCCAAAAATCAATACCAAAATTAACTTGATTAATGTGTCTAGTTGGGTTTTTTATAGTTGCCAGCCTCTCATTTGGAGAGCCATGTGAAACTGAAAACAATCCAAATTATTTCGATCAAAGGAAAGCTTTTTTTTTTAATTTTAGAGTGTCTTTTTGGCGTCATAAATTTAGTACAATCATGTCATTTCAATCACTGAGAATGACTATTTCTTTAAAAAAAATTCTGTTATAATTAACTAAGTTCAGGACTGCTCTAAAAATTAAGAAAAAACTTTTCTCGGAATTTTTTTTTTCTTCTTTCGAATACTGATTATACACTGTTAGAAATTTCACGGAAAAAATGGCTAAATAACAATTTAGTGGATGGTTATTTTACCATATTTAATCAAAACAGTCAAATAACCATAAATAAAATGGTAATCAAACTGTTAAGTTTGAGAAAAATTGGTTGTTAACTGCTTTCACCTAATACGGTTAATCAACCAGAATTTTATCTCACCAACTAGAACCACCTAATGGAGCTACTCTTTGCAACTTCGTACATATCATAGCCGAGCGGGCTTGTCTGTCAATCTCATGGCTGACAGAACTGGAGTTCGAATCCTAGTGTTGACACTACAATATTTCCTCCATTCTCTTCAACACATAAAGAATTTCCAGTGTCCGGCACTCTCCAATGCCCATTACCTTACAAAAAGCCGAGCTCCTATGTCTAGTTAAATAATTTTCTTTTTTTTTTTTACTTGTTTGAAAAATGCTAGTTGTAAATGGTTAAAAAAACCGTATAGTTTTGTATTCATGGTCTTATAAGCATACTTCTTGTAAATGGTTTCAAAACCATAAAGTAAAAAAAAATGCTCTTTACCGTAAACTTTACGGTTAATCGGATGGGCAGACAGCTGCCAGTTATTTTACCATAATTTGAGAAGGAAAATTTTAACAGTGTATGGTTTTCGAATGTTCCATTTTTGAAGATCGTTTGTCATATTTTTACAATAACTGAAATAAGATCTCAATACAAACATAAATTTAGGTCTCAATCAAAACATTTAATTTCAACAATTGAGAATGTACATTTTTTGTTAAAAAAATTTCTGTTACAATTATCTACACCCAAGCATGTCATGACTGCTCTGAAAAATGAAGAAAAGTGTTTTTCAGGAATTTTTTGCAAATACTGATAAAATGGTCATTGAATGTTCAATTGTAAGAGATTTTTTTTTAACATTTTTATACAATTACTGAAAAGAAGCACATGCATATCCTTTAAATGCATTGTAAATGCATGTTTTAAAGATAGTATGATATTTTCATGCACAAATTGAAAAGCTGCACATCAATGTCTTTTAATAGTGTTTATTGTACAGTATGCAAAAAAAAAATGGACCACTCTGAATATCTTTTTATCATTACGAAGACGTGATGATTTTTAAGGCTTGTAATTACATTTATATCAAAACAATAAATTCGTTAATATTTCGTTAATTGTTTGGTTATTTTAATGGAATTATTTAATTAAAGTGCAAGTAAAAAAGTATCAATATTTCTTGTGGAATATTTCAGTTCAAAATATAATAACCTAATTCAAGAATAACGAGTTATGTTTTTCTAACTATTCTCAACGCTAATTAGAGTTCTTTTTTCGAAAACGATAATGCAGTTTATTTAATTCCTTATCAGCTAATGGTTTCCCTCAAAACTAACATCATACCACTCCAGGCCTGCAAGTTTAACTGTTTAACATAAAATTTATTATTTTATGAGTTTTATTGAGAAAATTATTGAAAAAATTTCATTCCTCGCATTAAATATTGTCAAAATAATAAGTAGTCTTTCTTTGGTTAATACAATTTTAATGGCTGCTAATAAATTTTATTTATTTGTTTGGGGTTCCGCCAGAAGATGCTTCATCATTTAGGGCTCCGTAGCATTAAAAAAGTGGAAATCGCAAAATTTAGTGAGTTATTAACGAGTGCCAAGTTGATATTGTGCATATACTCTTGGAAATTTTTGGCACTTTAACAGATAACTTTAGATAATCGACACTTTAC